TTATATTATGTTTGACAGTTAAATATGGCATAAATAATAGTTTGCTAGTTTTATTTCTTAAAATAAGTTTAATAAAGTTATAACTTATAAATGTTATTTTGATGAGGTTTAACAAATCCTACGACCAGTTGTATGAAACTTTATATTTACGGCTAACATAAATGGTTTAATGGTTTTTGTAAGCCTTTTGTGGACTAATTACCCGCTGTTAGCCGCGCATCGCCCGACCCTGACGTTAGGGAAAGCACTGCTAGTCTGACCAGATGTCCAAAGGAAAAAATTTTATTCAAGTAAAATTATAAATTATATTTTTTCTAAAAATTTATTCGCATTTTCTACATATGTACACATTTAATTTTCACTTTCTGTTTAAGAACACATTTCGCAACATAATAACAAATATGGTATTAATTAAATTTAAATTAGGAAATATTTTTAAGTTGCATTGAGCCCAAATACACAATATTGAATAAATATTAAATATACTCTAATTATCTAATTTTAAATCAATTCAATAAAACTTGTACGAATTTTTTTTTGACCATTATTGTTATAAACTGTATTTCTGATTAACTTTAGTGTCAATGTTATAATTACCAAGTATAATAACGTTGATAATCTATAATAGACTGTATAATTGTTTCAAATATTGCATAAATTTTACATCAATATAATGTTTTTCATTGTATTAAACCTATTGTTATTGAGTGCATATTTAATAAATCCAATAAATGGTTATATACAGTGTATTATACTGTTAACTAAACTGACCATTAAATTATAATACAGGACAAGCTGTTAGCCAATGCGAGCAAATCATAACCAAGGGATGCACACATCGGACCAACTTTACGGACCAGGAGTTAGATAGAGTCAGGGATTGGATTCAACATAAATATATGACCGAAGCTTTTATAAAGCCCGACACCACTCCTTGTCGTCGACTATATGTCCGCAAAGACTTCAAATGTATGACCGAAGGGGAAAGGATGGCATTCATACGGGCCGTACGGCAGGTATACCTGAATGGTGTGATGGATCGGTTGGCGGACATACACTACGGCTATTGGGTTATCCACAAAACCGATGATTTTGTGCCCTTTCATCGAGTATTGCAAAACGAATTGGAAAAGGAGTTAATGAAAGTGGACCCCACCGTTACACTTCCCTATTGGGTTTATACATACAAATTATTATAAAATTACAATGTTATGTAATATTATAACGCAAACAATATGTTAACTAATCGTATTTAACACGTTGAAAAACAGGAAACATCCGTAGACTTTGCTTCACCTGAAAAATCACTGATATTTGACTACTTCGGTCACGCGGGCACTCATAACAACTCGTATTGCGTAAGGGATGGCCCACTCTATGGCGATCTGGAGCTGAATCGATGTGTGAGAAGGCAATGGCATCTCGATAAGTATATGCCTGCCTGGGATTCGCCCGAAATCAATACAGTATTAATACAAAACGCCCGCACATACGGAATGTTATCGCAATCGTTTACAGGCTATCACTTTCTGGTACACCTGGCCTTTGGCTACGGCTCTACAATGAGCGTCACTGACGCTCCCTATGAGTAAACTAACTCTATGTTTACAAAATACTTACTGTTTTAACTAAAACAAATATATTGGTATTTTATTTATAGCATATTATTTTACTTATTTCATTGCTTTTTAACCGAGGCGTTTGCGGCCAAAGTTCAGCTGGGTCAGCCACAATTTTTGGCCCCCGAATCGTACAATAACTTTATAAAAGTGGATCAAATGACAGGTCTTGTATACAAAGGCCGCCTTCAGACGGATAGAGTCACGTATTTCAATGACGTCCGGGTTTTGGATATGTTATCGATAGGGTTTGGGAACTATTGTTACGTAACGGATGCCATTGCGGAAGACGTGCTCAACACTATAGACAACATCAAACCCCCGGTGCCGGCGGCCATACAGCGAATGCCCCGTAATATTCAACGCACGTATTATCCAAAATTTTATTCGGGAAACTATTCGGTGTTTGATTACTATATGCCAGATGTGGGCGACTGTAACGCCGAGTGCCGACCAATGCCTCTCTTTCAGGGCTATGCGGACACTGAGAATGGGTTGAGACAAATGCGGCGATTTTATTACGATGAGAATATTAACGAATTGCCTTTTGTTTACCTTGCTCAAGCATATTGGCAAAATTTTATGACAGAGTTAAATAAGTCTACCTATTGTTCACCCTATGTAACAAATCTGCCATAACTTTTTAAATAAAGTGATTTTGTTAAACTGTTTGATTTTAATGTTTGTGAACTTATAAGTAATTTTTATGAATTTTAAATTTATGGTCTAAATATAATATAAATTATTTTAGATTATTTTGCAACTTATTGTGAGAACTTGTTAACTTGTTTTACTATCTTACTCGTTAGTATTTGCATGTTTGTAGGTAAGTTTTATAATTTTAACTGCTAATCTTATTTAAAAATATAAATAAATTTTATCAACTATTAATTACAAAATTAATTTTTTTGTTAACAATATTTTGATATTTATTTATACATTTATTTCCCAGTTTTATTACCTTGTTACTTAATTTTTACATTATAGAAAATACAGTTTTGTTTATAAACACATTAATTTAAGCTATATACCTATTTAATTACCTTGAACCTAGAAATAAACTGTTAATTTCTTTTACAAACATATAAGTTTAAAATTTAAGTTTAAATCCATCTGGTTAAATTGTTAAATAATTATAAAAATTTTAACTTTATCATTGTAACTTATTTATTGCATAAATGCTATTTTAATACATAATATGATTTTAATTACATTAAACCTATTGGTGGTGATTTCATATTTAATAAATCAAACAAAAGGTATTTATACAATGTTAAACTTGTTTACTAAAATGACCATTTTATATAACACAGGACTGACTGTTAGCCAATGCGAGCAAACCATAACCCATGGATGTACACATCGGACCAATTTTACGAACCAAGAGTTGGATAAAGTCAGGGATTGGATTCAACACAAATATATGACCGAAGCGTTTGTAAAGCCCGACACCACTCCCTGTCGTCGACTATATGTCCGCAAAGATTTTAAATGTATGACCGAAGGGGAAAGGATGGCATTTATACGGGCCGTACGCCGGCTATACCTGAATGGTGTGATGGATAGGTTGGCGGATATACACTACGGCTATTGGCCGGCCGGTCATAAAACCGCCGATTTTGTGCCCTTTCACAGACAATTGGGAAATGAATTGGAAAAAGAGTTAATGAAAATAGACCCCAGCGTTACACTTCCCTATTGGGTTTAATAGACATTTATATTAATAATTATTATATTACATAATTTTATATGTATTAACTAATTGTAAAGTTTATGTTCATATAACATGTTAAAAAACAGGGAACACCGGTAGACTTTGCAACGCCCCATAAATCATTAATATTTGACTACTTCGGTCACGCGGGCACTCATAACAACTCGTATTGCGTAAGGGATGGCCCACTCTATGGGTTCTTGGATATAAACCGATGTATGAGAAGGCAATGGCATCTCGATAAGTATATGCCTGCCTGGGAAGCACCCGAAATCGATACGTCATTAATACAAAACGCCGACTCATACATAATATTGTCCCTTCAATTGGTGGGCTTTCACTTTTACGTGCACTTAGCGTTTGGCTACGCCGCTGACATGAGCTTAGCCACCGCTCCCTATGAGTAAACAATTAATTCTATTAATTTAATTTACCAATATACAATGTACTTTGAACAAATATTAACTAGTAATGGATGTGCTTTATTTTTAGCATATTATTTTATTTATTTCATTGCTATTTAACCGACGTATTTGCGGCCAAAATCCAACTTGGCCAACAAAAATTTTTGGTTCCCGAGTCGTACAATCAATTTATAAAAGTGGATCAAATGACGGGTTTTATATATAGCGCTCACATTCAGACGGATAGAGTCACTTACTTTAGTGACGTTAGGGTTTTGGACGTGGCGTGGATTGGGTTCGGGAACTACTGTTACGTAACGGATGCCATTGCCGAAGACGTGCTCAACACTATAAACAACATCAAACCCCCGGTGCCGGCGGCCATACAGCGAATGCCCCGCGATATTCAACGCACGTATTATCCAAAGTTTTATTCGGGAAACTATTCGGTGTTTGACTACTATATGCCAGATGTGGGCGACTGTAACGCCGAGTGCCGACCGATGCCTGTCTTTCAGGGCTATGCGGACACTGAGAACGGGTTGAGACAAATGCGACGATACTATTACGACGAGAATATTAATTTATTGCCTTTTGTTTACGCTGCTCAGACATATTGGCAAACATTAATGGCCGAGTTAAATAAGTCTACATATTGTTCACCCTATGTTACTAACGTTCCATAACTTCTAAAATTGTATATTAGACAATAATATTTAATTTAGAATATTATAATTTAATATTGATTTAAAATATATATTAATTATTTTTATTTAGATAAACGACATGTACATTTTAATTGTATTGATGGAGTAGAAAATAATTTGTAAATTATGTGTTATATCTAGAATTAATGTAAATTTTGATACAATTAGCAATGCAATAAAATAAATTTTTTAAATTATATAAATCCATTTAAATTGGGTATTTTATATTTATTTCCTACTTTATAATATACATAAAATACTATTATATTTGTTAAAAATTGTATAAAGTTCTTTTTAAATCTACCTGTTTTATTAATTTATTTAGTGTTTGTTTTTGCAAAACACTGTTATTGTAATAGTTTAAATAATATTAAATTGTTTTTTACACTTATTATAGTTATGTTACAAGTTGCACCAATATCAATATTTAATTTTCAGTTTTTTGACCTTGTTAATTAGTGTTAACAATTTTGGAAATATGGTTTAGTTGGTAAATTTCTGTTTAACCATTTATTCTAGTTGGAAATGTAAAATGTTTTTAATTGCTCTAAACTCAATGGACAGTAATTTATATCTATTAAAAGTAAATAATTATAAAACCATTTGTTTTTAAACCATTAAGTAATTAGTTGCAAAAATGCATGTAATACACTGCAATTTAATTATTTTGTAATTATCATTTAACTTAATTTTTTTAATAATGTATATTTTATTAGTTTAATATATATAATGTTTTTTATAAAATTAGGTCCATTTATAACATGCATATTACTATTATGTTTTCATTTAATAAATCAAATAAGTGGTATTTATTTTATATTATACATAATATTAAATAATCATGTTAATATCAACAAAAGGACAAACTGGTAGCCAATGCGAGCAAACCATAACCAAGGGATGCACACATCGGACCAACTTTACGGAACAGGAGTTGGATAGAGTGAGGCTTTGGTTGCAAAACAAATTTATGACCGAAGCGTTTGTGAAGCCAAACATTACTCCCTGTCGTCGACTATATGTCCGCAAAGACTTCAAATGTATGACCGAAGGGGAAAGGATGGCATTCATACGGGC